TGTATATGATATAGTATTAGTAACAGTATCAACTATCATAATGTTCAAACAAAAGATGATTAGGAAAGAGAAATTAGAAGAGCTTGAAAAAAATTGATTTGAATTATGTGCGTCAAGTTATAGGTGGATTTCTTCAAAGAGTTTATTCTGTCGAAAAACACAGTGGAAAGATTATTACTGATGAGCATTCATAATACCTAGAAATATTTATTGTCTTTTTGTGAAGTTTCATCATCGTTGTCTACAACTTTCAAAAAAGAAGTTGCTTTAAAAATCTTTGTAACAACTTTTTCATTTTCAATATATCTGAGAATAACAACGTCTCGCAGATGATTACTTTCTATTATTCAGAAAAACTATCAAGACGTGTCTGTATGGCTTTATTTATACACCTTTCGTAAATCTTTTCACGATGCATCTTTTAAAAAAATATTCAAGATTTTATCATTTACTTTAGATTAGATACACATAAAACAAATATGTATTTTTAAAACCTTTTCATTATATTAAGTGCCATCGGAAGTAGCACTAATATGTATGCTTTTCATCATGATCATGAAAAGGACTATAAGAACAATTCTAAAAAACGTTTCTTAATATGGATTTTGTAGAGCTTTTCAAGGCGCATCTTTTGAAAAAAAGAATCAACATTATATTGTTTGTCTGTGCAGAAATATTCTCAAAACAAAGAATGTTGCAATTATATTGGGACACCCGGTATATTGTCATTTCATTACTAATATAGTTCGTTTAATGTCTGAAATAAGTTGTCGAATCGTTTTCAAAACACTGCCATTTATACAATCAATTTTATTTAAATTCTCTATATAATTTACCCATGTTTTCAAGTCTACATTGCACGAATCACATTGCAACTTATGTTGCGAAAACTTTTAATTTTGATTGATTCAGTCGTTTCTGTACTATACGAATTATGTTGGCAGAAATAGAAAGATTGTTGAACATTTATTCACCATTATTTTTAGCAAATTTGAATGTATAAGAGATAGAGAGTATTTTGCCAGTAAATATCAATGAATTATTATTATTATGGTGATCATTCTTTAACTACAAGACACTCAAAATCAATTCTTGTAAATCACTTGATTAAATCTCATCAAGAGCAAAAATGTTGACAGAAAACAGTCCTTGAATCTTTAAGTGCGCACAAACTTTCGTATTTTTTTTAACATTGGCAATCACCCACGCTAAAAAAGAAAAGGGTAGCAATAGAGTTTCGCTTGGGTGGCAATCGCCCAACTGCTACCCTGCTGGATACGCCACTGCCAACCATCTACATCTTATATTTTTTGGCAGAAACAACAATATTTTTGTAATTTCTAAATGATTAAAATTGAGCAAGAGTATGAATATCAGAAAGAAAGCGTCATTCGTGTTTTTTTTAATGAAATTAGTTGGTCGACTACTGCTTGATGCGTCGAGATGTAGTGTCACATATTGAAGTTGAAAATAAGTTTTCCGAGTTTTATAACAAGACGGAGCAATAAATCAGTTAGAGTTATTAAAAGTTCAGCTTACTCTGTATAATGCTGGATACATGAAATTTTCCTTCAACCTTCTAATCTTTTCCAAATTTTGTATCTCTAGAAAACAATATTTCACTTCAGATGTTACACACATTTTTTTTAAATGTAAGATGTGAAGTGTTAAGTCATGCGCAATAAAACAATCATAAGCTTCTATGATTGTCGCTATAATTCGAACTATTATCTTTTCAGACTTCAGCTTTAATTTTTCTCTAGAAAACAGTGTATTGCAATCAACGATCTATATAGGTAGTTTATGTAAACGAGGACAATTTATAGCAAGAAGCCGAAACTTGTCGACCATCCATTGCCATACCAGATAACTGCTGTAATAATTCTTTATTGCTACAAGTTTTTAGGTTACATTTCTTTCTTGCAAAAATATGACAACAAAGAGGATGAGTGAAAAAATGAAAACTGCTAATTAGCTCTGTAATGTTTTCAGTTGATAACGGTTCATATTGAACTGAAGATTCGTTCAAATATGTCGATGAGGGTGCTATGTTGCGTACAAAAGCAATTGCTTTATATCTAGTTATAAATCGAAGCTAGAGCAATTTTTTTATACTACTTAGGGTATACCAAAAATTCTGATCACATTTTTCAAATTTTAATAAAGCAATAAATATTGAATATTTTACTGAGGCAATATATAGTATAACGTCTCGTCTTTAATAATATATAGAGCAACTCTCTCTTAGACTTATTTCTAACATCCTTTCAGACTAAATCTATAGTATTTATAGCCAAGAAAAGATCATGCCAACATAAAACCACAACATAGAAACGAGGAGACATTCGTTATTTTATTTTATTAAATGCTCAAAATAATCACCATTATTTTCGATACAAAGTTTCATTCTTTCTAACAGTTTATCGAAAGTCTTTTTAAACTCGTTTATTGGAATATTCTTCACTACGGCGGAAACCTCTTGAGCTAATGATTCTTCGTTTATGTGATCCGTCAACTTGTTCTTGATATAATCATTTAGCCAAAAGTCACACAGTGCGAGATCTGGTGAATATGGTGGATGTGGAATGATTTCGATTCCTTCCTCCATTAAATAATCAGTAACATCTGGATGAGTATGAGGAGGACCATTATCATGAAGCATTTTATATGTAGTACGTGACGACTTTTCCTTTTTTCTTATTTCATTGATAACAGGTATAAGACAATTATCAATATAGTAGTCGTGATCGATTGTCTTGCCCTTATCTACTTTGTGTATGAGAAGAGAACCAGTGGATTTGAAGAAGAAGCAAAATAGTGTTCTAGGTTCAAATCTATTCCGACGAACAATGGTTCTTGGTGGTTCATTTTCGATAACCCAAGTAGCATTGCTTGACTTTCGACCAATCTGCCTGTGATAAATCCATGTCTCATCACCAGTAATAACATCACATAAATGCCATGTTCCATTTCTAAATTTCTCTAAATTTTGACGACAAATTCTAAATCGTTTTTGTTTTTGTTCGTCAGTAAGTTGATGAGCAACCCAACGTGATGTAACTTTTCTCATCTTTAGACGATCATGAATAATTCGTTCTATTGTACCACGTGATAGATCAGTCTCACCCATAATATCATCATAAGTTGAGTGTGGATCATCTTCGATAACTTGTCGAACGCGTTCAACATTTTCATCTGTAAGTACCGAAATCGGACGACCAGATCGAGGATCATCAGTGACATCGTCTCTTCCTTCACGAAAACGTTTCGCCCATCTTCTGACTGTTGGATATGATGGAGCATCAGGTCCCAATGCCTCTGTAAGTTCGTCAAAGATTGTTTTTGAATCTATTCCCAAAATAGCTCGAATTTTGATATAATATCGATTGAATTCATCAGTCATGTTTAATGTCTTCTTTTAAAATTGAAATCAAATTCTATTACGATTTTAAGTCGAGTACGGTACAAATGAACTAACAGCGAACGCCCTCTCATTTATATATACTATCGAAATGTAATATTCTAGAACATGACGTCATAAAACGTGACGAGAGAGTGACCAATAGAAAGTTCCAGAATGTACCTGACCATTGAACAAGAATTAATAATATTTGCATTGTCTGTAAAATTATAGATTTAGTCTGAAAGGATGTTAGAACTAAGTCTAAGAGAGAGTTGCTCTATATATTATTAAAGACGAGACGTTATACTATATATCGCCTTAGTAAAATATTCAATATTTATTGCTTTATTAAATTTTAAAACTGTGATCAGAACTTTTGGTATACCCTAAGTAATGTATTTAAATAAGAAGTTGTTCTGTAAATATATCAAGCTCATCTTTTTTCTTACAAAAAATGTTCAAGTTTTCATTTTTGAACCCAATGATAAACAGGGAAGATATTCGACTCAAGAGTTATCTAAGAAACACTAATAAACAATAATATAAGCAGTATTTAATAAGAACTATGAATACAGAGTGAAATGTTTGATTTAAGAATTTCAATCGATTGCATATTTGCTGACTGTATTTTTCATAAAAATAACATTTTCAAATTTCACATATTGTGAATGTTCTCTTCAAACGTTCCTGGAGTATACTCTTAAAAACTTTTTTGTTACAGAACCTAAGAATATTGTTTCCACAGATATGAACACGGAACCTTTTTGCGCTTTCTTACCAAATCCAAAAAAGTTCCGTAAAAAAAGTATTTTTTTCCGGTGTAGTATTCGTAGAAACAATGAAATTCCTTCGAACTGTGTAATCAACACCGAGAAAACCATAAACAATAACATTGCAGCTAAAAGAATTCTCACGAAATAGATCTTTCGAGATCGGCAAACAACTATTATGACTTTAAATAAAGCCGAGTCTATTAATATCCGGCTTTGTCTTATACCTTGTTCAAGATAAATTGTCGATATCATAGCCTATATCATCATCTTAAGTAGATTTCATATCATTTGAACCTTGAAATAACCTTGCTTCATGGTTTAATATAAAGATTTTGTGATACTTTTTCTTTTCTATTAAAAATATTCAACTCATTTCAAGTTTTTCTTGCTCATTGCAGCTTTATGTAATTCTATATGTCCCGAGGATCAACTGTGTTGCTCTCCGAATATTTGTACTTGTCCATCTGGCTCGACCACTTCACCTTGTCAACCACGTATGTACAAAGTTTGTCTTAAATTATGTTTATGACTGTCCCGATTTCGTTTATTTTCTTTATACAGAATCCACAGGTTTATGTCCTATCGAAACCACGGCAAATTCGCAATTGGTATTTTTAGTCACATTTGGTAATGGTACACATCAATATTCTTCAGCAACACCTGGTAGCTTTGGATTCAGTACAACTTACAGACAGGTATTCGGTGGTCTGGTGGACGATGGGCTCTTCGCTTTCATAAGTAGCATTCTTGAGCCGTTCAGCACTTGGTTTATAGGAGCACCAGATCATACAGAAAACAATCATACAGCAAGTATTAAAGGATATATGATGCTCATCAATGCAAACTTCGATCCCGATCAGATATTCAATCTTACGGCCGATAATTTATGTATAGGATCAACATATCAATTTTCCCTTTACGTAGCCAATATTAACAAAGCTGGAAGTAATATAATTCTACCAAATATTAAATTTGAAGTTCGAACTGCGCCACCTACAAATATTTTGCTTGCCACTTTATCGACAGGCAATATAGCAGAACGTTCCACTTTGACTTGGGTACAATATGGTATTTCATTTATTGCAACAGTTCGTAACGTCGTCTTGGTGGCGATTTCAAATGCTCCAGGAGGCAGTGGAAATGATTTCGCTATTGATGATGTTTCATTGACTGTTTGTTCCACAACGAGTCCTGCGATCTGTACTGAGTGATAAGTCATCATTCAAATGACTACAGCTTATCGAATACTTTGACCGCTACAAGTCTTATTTTATTCTCGCTCTTTTATTATCTTAACGTTCTATCTTCATAACTAATAAAACTTATTGTTCTTCGAAATCTTTCATTATTTACTTTTAAAGCTAACTCATTTTCTTTTATATTTCTTTCATATAATCAATAAACTCGCTCTCGATTCTTAACATTTGATTCAATTTTCTTATTATTTTTGGTTTTTCGAATAGAAAGAAGTTAAATTCAGTAACATATAAAACCATCGAAAAATATTTTCTAAAAGTCTAATGCATAAGATTGATCTCGTTAGAAAGAGCGCAAAAAACTGACTATTACCCTAGAATATGAGCGCGGTGTATGATGCCCAGGGAATGACAAATGGCAAAAAATTTCATTTAAATGATTTTTTCAAAACTTTTTATGAAAAAAATTTCGTTACTTCAATTATTTCGCAAAAATCAAACCCATCCGATAGTTTCGTGGTTTTTGTATCATTTTCATTGTCTTAAATCGATTATTCTCGTAAAATTGAAATTATTGCAATAATTTAATTTTTTTTGCATGATTTTCATCAAGTAATATTAATTTTTCTGAAAAACTATAACAATAACAGTACTATTATTGCTTTTGCATCATTTTCATTCCAATAAATAGTATATTCCAGAAAACTTAAAATCATTGCACGAGTTTTAGTTTTTTTCGCATTGTTTTCATTAGATGATCTTG